GGTCAAATATAAATTCGAGTCAAAACTAAAACAAAATTCCTCATCAAATAATGATCACAAAGTTATATAAGATTAACAGGTTAATCTTTTCATTGATTCATTTTTCATATCAAAGTCAGGTGAAGTTACCGGTCCAATATCTGCTATCAATTGTGCACGAAATGAGAGGGCAAGGCCCCAGTTATACAAGGCTCTCAGATCATTCCCATCAATTGACAATGCCAACCTGTACTTTCTCCCTGCCTTAATTAGTAGCTCTTCACATTCTTCACACACATCGACAAGAGCAGATTTAAGTTTGTCTTTATGAACTAGCTGATCATCAAAATTGTCGAGTACTTTTCCCAACCCCTCAACTGAAAAGGAATGATTTCTTGCAAGTAGGGATCTGAACTCTCGGCTGATCCTCAGTTTTAGTTCGCCATGAAGAAGATATGCGTTTCCCAACTGCCCGACTGCCAATAAGCTCATTGGTCTCATGTCTATTGCTTTCGAGAGTAACTTGGCAGATTTATACAGTGCATTCTCAGCACGATCATCATCAATAATTTTCTGCCTTAAACATTCCTTAGCTTCTTTCATAAAAATATTTGCTTCTCCAATGTACCTACCGAACTCCAAATCATGAGCAAGAATTGAAGACGAAGGAGGAGAACCATTTTCGTGATTAGTAAAGGACCGTTTCTCCTCTTGAAAAGAAGATCCCTGATACTCTCTTTCACTCTTCTCTCTGCTTTCAGAATACAAAAAATTTTCTTTCATACTTCTTGATTTGTGTTCATGCCCATAAGAAGCAGCAGTTCTTACATGTTTCATACTAACGCTAAAATCGACAGAATCGTATAAACTATCACGAGATGCCCCTGTTTCAATTTCATCTATGTCATCCATTTTCAAATAAACTTGTTCATCATTTAGATATCTCGACATTTTATTCCGATAAACATACTCTTTCTCCTTAAAATCTGTTTCAGCAGTATCATCTATAGCAGCCAAATTCATCTTCTCATTCTCAGAAACTGTTTTCATTCTTCTTGTCCTATCTGCCAAACTACCAGAGCTACCTTGACTTCTATCAGTGTTATCGAAAGGGTTCACTGATAAACCCGCATTCCCATTTCTCCTATTTCCATCTAACCAAGATTTCAAATTACTTCCTTTGACAGACCCAGCTAAGATATTCTCTTCTCTTTGACCATTGCCCTCTGCATCCATTAATCCTCTCATGCCAGTCTCTTTCATTTTATTGGACTTTGAATCAATTGACTTCCTTCCCAACAAACCACCAAAAATTTGAGAGAAATTTAGTCGATTTTCGCCCAATTCTTTTCTTCTCCTACTCGATGTCTGATTCAAAGCTTCCTCCTTTTCTTGGTAATCAATAAATAAATTCTGTATACATTCATCAAAAACTTCTCTTGCATTCAAAGATGATAAATTAATTGATTCGATAGCATTAACGTAGCCTTCCAAATCACTCACAGTAACTTGATTACACTCCACACTTCTTCCAATATCATTCTTTAAATTCAGAATCTTCTCATCAAACCCATTAAAAACTTCCCCCAAATTCCTTATTTTCTCAATGGAACTTCTAACAATTTCATCTTTAAACTTTCTTTTATTCCCATTTAATTTTAACTCATTCATGTGACCCCCATTGACCAAGCCAATTGAAAATCCGACAGCAAATACAATAGCACAAGCTGGAAATACAACAATTGAAGAAACCTTAATTCTAGAAATTGCCAGTGCACAAACAAAACCAAATAGATACACAAAGACATACTTTTTGTCATCAATACCGAGAGAATTCAGAAAACTGTGAAGCTGATTTGAATCCGCAGAGTGAACTGAGTCACGACTGAGCTGAAAATCATCCCAACCACCATAACTCGGCGAACAAGACGACGTAGCAGAGCATAAAGTATGAGTCTTGAAGGTGTAAATGCGTTTTTGGGAACAACGGTTCAGAAATAATTGACTTCTGTGGGTTGTTGAGAAGAGAAAATTTGAGGTTCGGGATTGAGTGATCAAACGGAAAGTGGGTTTATTGGAAATTAGGGTTTGCATATCCGAATCGAGTAAACAGTTTATGTTACATTGATTATCACGAATTCGTGCATACGCACTTTAGCTGCTGAAATTCTAGAAGTGATGTGCAGTTTAATTCTAGTTTCTACGCTAAAGGGACAATTTGGTGAAAATTAAAAATGGACAAATATTTGTCTCTGATTTTTTTTTTCCCAATAATTGACAATATTTTTAGGCTTTTGCTAGTGGTACATTTTGATGTACATGAGGGGTTACGCTCCCCTCATATTGGGGTGTGATCCACTTATATAAAATATTGTACACCCGTAGGTACCACTAGCAAAATCCAAATTTTTAATTGCACTGAAAATATACAATTTTGCCAAGTTATGGACAAAGCTTCTTGTACAGTCCTCCTTCACAGCCATTTTAACAGTTTTTCAAATTAGCTGACGTGGCAGTGTAAAGTGTTAAAAAAACTCGGCCCAAAAAAAGGAACCCAGCACATTGTGCTAATGAAACCAGTCTCACCTGACTCTAACCAATTCTCCCCCAACTCTCCATACCCGTTCATTTTGACGAAATTGCTTCAACAACTCGCAATAATTTTCAGGCGACCACCGGTGGTATCTCCGGCCACAACCCACTCCAGCACTATTCCCCCAGCTCCCCGCCCAGTTCCCCAGTTGAGAAGAAAATTGTACAAGAAGCTGCGGTACCTCCAATTGCCGCACAACCAAAACCGTCGGCGTTCCACCCTCTCCGTCGCGGAGCAACTGCTAACCAACTAAGAAGGCAACATATATGAGAATTCCCTTTTTTTATTATTAGTCCACGTTTATCTGAATTTGTTGGTTGCGGCAATCGAAGGATGCGATGACGAATGATTTTTTTTTTAAATTACAGGGGAAAAATTGATTGCCTTCTATTAGAAAATTACAGAGAAATGTTAAATTACACACGAATCATAAATTGCCTTGTATTTGAAAATTGCACAGAAATGTTAAATTACAGAGGGAAAATGGATTTTACAAAATGAGCATTCTATGTTAATTAGTAACAATGAATATGGGTTACATTGATGTCGTTCTTTTATGTGGTTGAACTAGATTATTTCGATTTTTTATTTTGTTCTAAAACTGAACATATACCTATTCATTTTGATGTAGGAAAAGAAACAATGGAAGTATTGGATGACGAAGTATGTGTAGAATCCAACGATGAGAAGTTGATGGATAATGTAGTCACCTTGGAAGACAATAACGATAATTTAGGAAGGGGTTTATCCACTTGTACCGAGGGGGGATGACCGAATGGTGTCCCCCCCCTCACATGGGGCGCGGGCCCCATGTGTTTTTAAAAATGGCGGCTCGTGGTCCCC